AATCCGATTAACGCGCAGCCAACGCTTGCTGTTTTCTCATTTTCTCTGATGACGGCTTCTCGTGTGGAGCCGAAATCTCAGAATAAAACTGTCATTTTGGAGATCATGTCTTCCTGTTCTTTACAATAAGAATTTTGACACGCATATTTACTTCTATATGCATTACTTTGGCCGTTGCTAACTTTCATTGCTGTGTTATTTAAAAACCTCAGCAGCAATATTACAACCGACGAAAAAAAACTATTTAGCAGATGACCGAATATATCGGTGTTATTCGTGTTTTAGAACTCCTTGGGGAACTGACATTGCAAACAAGCACATTTATATAACCGATAAAACCTAGAGGAATCGATCTTCTCTGCATTTTCACTTTATCTGAAAGCTAGACGGGGGGCCCTTTACTGGGTTTTAACCGTCATTCTCCTCCTCTGCATCACTTGGCCCTATGTTCAGGGATCCCTCCCCGCTCCGGTTCCTTTCCTCTGCTTCGATAAGTATGTAGTTATGCGTGGTGAGTCCCAATACACTGACTCATCATATCTTGTTCACCATCTATGAATAAATTGAGGCACAGTGCCACTCTTACCGGTGATTATGGAAGCTTCTCTGTTTTCGAACTGTCAGGGCACTGCAACTATGCTTCCCGAAATCGCCTTTTCTTCTCGAGGGCGAGCAGCAAGACGCAAAAATATAATAGGCAGTTGCACTGCGCATACTTTTCTTACAGGAAGCATCGAAGCAGAATTGAGGAAGACAACCCTCTTAAATTGAATGCCAGTCATGTCGCAAATGAACTTTGGTGTTTTAATTTTAAATATTTCCGGTATTCCGAATCCCGTTCCATATCACATCAAAAAATATCAAGACCAACAGTTGCTTCTAAGTTCTGGTTTCAAGCCTGTATCAAGAAAGAAAGAAAGAAAGAGAGAACTACGGTCTATTCACTTAGATCGGAAGATATATTAGCGAAAGACAAAAACATTTAAAGGTTTATATAAAATGGTGGATTTATTAAAGAGACATTGTGGGAGCGCGACGCTGTGCTGATTCACGCTACCTTCTTTTGTAATGCTAGCTATCTACTCTCACATGACAAACTTGCCAGATGTCAACCGCTGCGAGAGGCCGCGATCTCCTAGTGGCCCTATGCTTCCCCCGGTTTGCTCGCAGCCCAAGGCGCAAGCCAAATGACACGCCCCTGTTCTCCTGGCTAACTGCCTAGTTCACTAAGAACGTTCCACAGGCAAGGCTTGGCAGTTGCCAACACAAAATCGCTTTCAGACTTGGCGTGCAAAACCCAGCCTTTGTACAATCTATTTTCCAGCAGTAAACTTCTGTGCACCAACACCGCCTTACTTGACTTGTGATTTGGGGAACCTTCTGTTTGTCGACATCACAGCTTG